CCAGATCTGCACACATTTGTGCCAGTAAAGGAAAGGAGTACTTCAAAATCAGTATTTTCACAAGGTGACTCTCCCCCTCTGCTCTGCCCTGGTGAGGCCCCACCTGGGTCACTGTGCACAGTTCTGATGTCCCAGCATCACAAGGACATGGAATTGTTGGAGCAAGTCCAGAGGAGGCCACCAAGTTGCTGAGGGGGCTGGAGCACCTCCCCTGTGGAGACAGGCTGGGAGAGCTGGGAATGTTCAGCCTGGAGAGGAGAAGGTTGTGTGGAGACCTCACAGCACCTTCCAGGGTCTGAAGGGGCTACAGGGAAATAGGAGAGGGGCTGTTCATTGGAACTGGGGTGACAGGCAAGGGGGAATGGCTTCAAACTGACAGAGGGGAAATTTAGGTTGGATATTGGGAAGGAATTGTTGGCTGTGAGGGTGGGGAGGCCCTGGCACAGGTTGCCCACAGAAGCTGTGGCTGCCCCTGGATCCCTGCAAGTGTCCAAGACCAGGTTGGACGGGGCTTGGAGCAACCTGGGCTGGTGGAAGGTGTCCCTGCCCATGGCAGGGGTGGGACTGGGTGATCATTAACCAACCCAAACCATTCAGGGATTCTATGATTTTCCTACAGGATGCATTTCTAGCATCTTTCTAGATCTAGAAGCACCATTCCAGCATCATCAAAAATGCAGCATTTTAGTGGCTTCCCAGGCACACAAAGCCCCTGTAAAGTCACCCCTCTCATCTCACACTTGCTGGCACCTCTCACCATTTCTGACTTCAACACAAAAGAGTTGTGCTGGGGAAATCAAACTCAAAGAGGGTCAAAGGAGCTCTTCCAGGACAGAAGGCAAGAAGTTCACAGTGGAAAAAAAAAAAATCACAGAACCACAGACTGGTTTGGGTTGAAAGGACAATCTGTTGATTTACCACATTTCAGGAAAACAGGTCAAGCAAAACTGACCAGATTTCAAAGAGCAGAATTGCACCTCAAATTCGAGTTCTTACAACAAATGGAAAAGTATCTTCTGAAAGATATTTTATATTCTCAGTCACTGCAAATAAAAGGTAAATTAAAAATGGAAAAGAAAGGAGAAAGTGTAAGTAACTGGTAAGAATTTAGACTGACATTTCTCAAAGACAGCCCTGCAAATCTTGCTCTGGCCTTTAGTGAAAAGCATTGGTTTCTATGTTTTAATTGACATTTCAGCAAGGACCTGAAGGAATAACTATCAGAGGTCTCTTATGCCTTCAGGCCAAGAGTTTTTGACCACTTTGAAATCCACAGGTCAAAATAAAAACAACAAAATACCTACCAGGAAACATTTGAATCCAGCACAGATTATTTCTGTTTTAAGTGTTAATAATAACCAGAAATCCATGGGTGTTTTTTTCAAACAAACCAATCCTATTATCAACAGTTGCATTCTAATGATGGCTCAAGGTTTTAGGCACCAATTAAATAAAAAAAAAATCACACCTCTTCATCCTCAGACACTCATTTGTTCCCTCAGATACTCATTCAGACATGGAAGATACACAGTTGCAAACAATGGGAGATTTGATGGGGGGAGTTGTTTTAAATAAAACCAAGAGAACTTTTCATCTACAGCTCCAATAAATGAGGATTAATTGTTGGATTAATTTAAGAGTAAAGATTAATTTAAGAGCAATTGAAGAGTAAAACCTGGCTCTCACCCCTTCTGACTTCCTGAAAGCACATCATAGTCATTGTGACACTTCCACACCTCCATATGCAGTAGGTTTCTAAATAATTTAGGAAATCCACACAGGAAATTACATCCCAGGTGTTTTTCACCCTCTTATCTTTCACCTAAATTACTATTTGCTTGTTTGAAATGAAGAGCCAACCTCCACTGACAACATTCCCACGTCCTTCTTACCCCAAACCTGCTCTTCTGCTCTTGGAAAATTCTGATTTGCCTTGGCTGCAGAGCAATCCCGTGCAGGTGCTGAGCATTTCCACTTGGATTCTCACAGCATCCATGTTAATTTGACAATGAGGAGCCAAGCTGGGATTTACTAAGACAGTGGGAGTCTCTGAAGAGCTGATTAGTTCTGAAAAGCTTTTATTGCAGATGATGGAAAAATCTGGCTGGATTTTTATCCTGGGCTGAGTTTAATGTGGATATGGGAATAAATTACATTGCTTGCAAAATAACGAGTGAAAAAAATCAGGCTTGGATACCTCAAATTAGTGAGGCTCTTATTAGACCTGCCCTGATAATCAGGTGTGCTTTAAAGCCACAATTATTTTTTTAATAGACAACTATTTCTTTTCCTGAACTGATAAAATAGATGTATTAGTGCTCTGCAAATAAGATTCCAATAGGTTAAAAAAAACCCAAACCACAGAAGTAAAATATTGATGATAGCTAAAAATATTCTATCCCTTAAGGCAAGTTTAGAGGAAGGTCCTTTGGTGAACAGAGAAAGGCTGTGTGTTTTTAAAACCAATTTCTGGTGAGTTCATATCAAATACTTTGTGACACCATTTAATGTCAAAGCCAGCTCCAAATAAACAGATTTTCCAGGAGCACAAAGCATCTAAACAGGTTGGCTCAGGCAGAAAAAGAAACAAAGCTGTTTATGCCCGATAATTCTTACTTTTAAAATAAAAAAGATGAGAGACAAAACTATCAGCCATTAGTTTGAAATAAAAAACCCTCTGAAAACCTGCTTTAAAAGCTTTCCTCCATAGCTGGCTGACTTTTATGGCTATTGCTTTCATTAAATGCTTCAGGGCAGCTTCGTTTTTAAATCTTCATAAAACTCAAACAAATGCAACAAGTGTTCATGTGATAGTGAGAGAAATATAGAAGAGGAAAGAGGTTTAAAATGAAAAAGCGAAGTAACTTTGTATTGAAAATGCTGATTGCACAGGACTAAGAATTATAAATATACATTCATCCATTTCAGAATATTTTGTTTCCTCCAAGAACTCAGTCTTCAAAATTTAGACATGTTAAATCCAAGGATTTTAAAATGGAGCTTCTATCAGAATGGGCAAATAGAACCCAAAATCTCTTGTTGTAAAGCAACAGATAATGTTAAATAAAAGCTGCACAAAAAAACCAACTTAAAACCAGCTTCCTAACCCCAAAGAACAACTATTTACTTTCTATCCCCACTTATGTTGTAATTTCCATGGCCTAGAAATTCATCTTCTTGCCTGGTTTTATTGATCCTTAACATCCTTTTCCGCAGGATTTTCTCACAGGACAGTTGGATAAACTTGCCAAGAGCAAATCCCCATCCCTGAAGTGTCCAAGGCCGGTCCCACCCCTGCCATGGGCAGGGACACCTCCCACTAGCCCAGGTTGCTCCAAGCCCCGTCCAACCTGGCCTTGGACACTTCCAGGGATGGGGCAGCCACAGCAAATCCTCACAGGTGCTGCAGCTTGTCACCTTTATAGCAACTTCCAGGCTTTTAAGACTCCCAACACCTGCAGATACACCTCAAGTTTGTCAGGAACTCTGGCCAACCTCCTTCCCTGGAGCGAGGATATTTTACATGGAAATAGAGCTAAAGGTTTAATCCTTCCACCAGTGGAGAGAAAGGGAGCACAGGCCCCTTAGCATCCCATGGAAAGGCTTTTCCTACCAAGACTGACCAGGTTGGCCAGGGCTTGGAGCAACCTGGGCTAGTGGAAGGTGTCCCTGCTCATGGCAGGGGGTAGACCCAGATGAGCTTTAAGGTCCCTTCTGACCAAAACCATTCTGTGGTTCTACAATTCTAAGATGAACAAAACAGGATACGGAGGAAGGAGAGCAGGAAACTCCATCACCTTTCTGTTTTCTCCCCTCAAAGTCAGGCACCACCACCAAAATGGTCCAAGACTGGCCATCAAGGGACCCCTCTGCCCAGTATTTTTTGTTTACTGCTCCCTTACTGCCTCTGTCCTCTGCTGCCTGGCCTTAAATACCCTGTAGCACTATTAATTGCTAACTACTATTAATTAGCCACTATTAATTGCCTACTTGATGATGTTACTGGCTTTCCTACACTTTAAACAAACAATACTCCAGATCTTCAGCTGTTCTAAACAACCTCAAGTGCCTCCCAGGTGAGGAATCCCCCACTGACAGGGATGACCTGCAGGGAATTTGCTGCCTCCGTGTGTTTGGGGTAGCAGGGCTGTCCTTCCAGAAACTCTGCTCTGGCATTCCTGCCCCTGGGTGGCAAAGAACTCACCACAGAGCATATTTAGCTGATTTATGTCAGAGCACTGCCACCAGCTTTTAATGTGCATGGCACATTCTCCCTCAGGCTTATTCTCCTTAATATGCCAAACACTAGCAATTAAAAATTAAACCTGGCTGGCAGAACAGCTTTGGCTTTTCTTGTCCTCAGTGGATCATCTGGTCACTGATGTTCATCACCCTCTGATTCCAAGGATTGCTATTCCCCTTCAGAACAGCCAACAAGTCAGGAATGTGTGCCCAGTCCTGTCAATCCACAGCTCCACCAGGGAACAGCAACAAAAGCCAGTGACAGAAACAAACTTTATCCCCAAAATGAGTGCCCTGGGCTCAAATCCTGCACGTGGAACGGGCTGGTTGGTGAGGTGTGTGTTCCACACAGCCCTGGGTGGCTCAGACTGGAAATGCTCGGTGACTGTGAAATCAAGACAGCGACAACCTTACAAAGCTGTGGTTTGTTTCATCTTTGAGCTGCAGAACTGTCCTAAGGACAGGCACATCCTCCCTTCCTGCTTATTCCCTTATTCATCTACGCTGTGAAGTCGGATAGAGAGCTTTCCAAAAATCTCCCTGGGAGCTTTATCAGTGATTTTCCAGCTTCAGGAACCGGCCTTGTAAACGCAGCCTCTGTCCAGGACGACAAAGGAGAGGTTGACACAGAGCAAATGTGGGAGTTGCTCCTCTGAAACTCCTCATCATCATCTTGGTGGATGAAAGTACAGGCACTAAGGAGAGCTGAAGTTTTTCCCCTCCTGGGTGTAGGGTATTAACAGGCCCTTTTTGCTTACCGGGGGATCCTGATCCTCAGCTGAAACCGTGGTGATAACGGTGCCCTTGATGGCATCGGGAGCAACCATCCCCCTGTAGAGCTTCTGGCTGAACACTGGTGAGTAATCATTCATATCCTGCAAAACACAATTGACAAGTGATCATTCATATCCTGCAAAACACAATCAAGAGTTTAGTTCTGAAGTTCAAACAAAATTACAGACGCATTCACAAGTGGTTTTGTCGAACTCTCCCCACTCCCTCCTCGGGAAATCTGCCATTCCCAGGCTCTCCCAGTGCCACTGCCAGCACACAAAACTGGCACCCAAGGGGAAGGAGCCAAAGATTCACCAGAAATATTTCTGTCAGAGCTCAACTGAAGGAAATTCTGCAGGAAAACACAGTCTCACAAGTGAACAGAAGAGAGAATTCCACCCCACCTGCTCCTCCAGCAGTGGGCTCTGCTCATGTTCCAAAAGGAACAAGCTGCTGTTGTTTGATGGTGTTGGTTACCTCCAATATGCAATAAATCAAGAGGAAATAGAATGTCAGATTAGCATCCACACCCCAGGAGAGCCCAGGCTGGTGCTCTTTGGACTGATGTGTATCATGATGACAAGAAGCTTCGAAGACCCAATTTCACTGTATTTTCCCCCCTATAGACGTGTGCACAGCTATATGTGTATATAGACATCCATGGGCACATCCCTGTGGGACAGATGCACCCTCATCCAAACCCCAGGCCATGTGGGAATGCCCAGGCTGGCACCACAGGAGATGCCACTGTTGGATGCTCGTGGCTCTCAGTGACGAGTTGACCCTGGAGCTCAACCAGCGTCACAGGTTATTAAAAATCTGTGACTCCAGGTACACAAAGTTCCTGCAACGATGCTCTGACCTGTTGTCAGAGCTCTGCACACTGCAAATTCAGTGTGCTGATACTGGCTAAACATTATATTACACAGTCCTTTAGAACATTCACCCAGACCTCATCAGAGGGTACAACAGCATAATGAACAGCTGCATGTCAAAAATGGCCGTCAGAAATCCAGGTAATAAATGCCCGAAAAATTCATGCCTTGTGTTTGGTGAAAGGTCTGTGATCCAAGTCTTCAAAAGGCACTGGAAAAGCCTTTTCTCCGAGTTTCAGATTTTCAAAGACAACTGGATCATTACATTAAAAAGCCACTCCCAGGCAATTTAACTAGGAGAGCATTCAAATGAAAACATTTTTGAAAAACATCCAAATTCAAACACGAGCATTCCTGCACAGAATTACAGGCATTGGATCTTATAATTTTCGTTTCTTGACCTGTTTGTGAGAAAATAACTTACTTCATCTGAGAATTTAATACCCAGGTCTAGTTTACATAATCAATCTTGTTTCTCCCGACTCTTCAAAGGGACATGGTGTTTGGGAAAGAAGCTTTGCTCCATTCTGCTCCCAGAAAATTCACTCTGGAGCAATATGTTTTTGTGGCAAAGGAACTGACACCATACAGACCATTCCCACTGCAAGAAGTGTCCAAGGCCAGGTTGGACAGGGCTTGGAGCAACGTGGAGCAACGCTGGGAGGTGGGAGGTGTCCCTGCCCATGGCAGGGGGTGGGATAAAATGAGCTTTAAGGTCTCTTCCAACCCAAACCAGTCTGGGATTCCATGAATTCTCCATCGGGGATAACGACCCAATAACACTCTCATGATAACTTCGGGTTTTTTGTGTCTTGCTCCCATGATTTGCACGCTTAGAATTACCTCCCTGGAGCAGGTGAAGTTTCTGAAATACAGCCTTTTATCTGTATTTATCCCTGTGTTTTGGATCCACCCCTCTCTGTGCACCTGCAAACCCACAGCCATCCTTTTTCTTGGGCCAAGAACAAGAGGTCACCCTCTGCTTTTTGCTCCCTGGGGGTGGGGAAATTCACCCTGGGATGCTTTTGTTATCTTTGAATACCTTTATGTGGGCCTTAGAGCCTGAAAATTGGTGACTTGAGGTATTGGGAAGCATAATCCTGTTGCTAGATGATACACTACATCCTCTGCTAGTGAAAATGAGGAAGTCATCCTGCTTAACACACCTATTTTTTCAAGATACACAGATCAGTACCAAATACAAAGGAATACAAAGCAAAGCATAAAGTAGGACACAGAAAGTCTTCTGCCTCTCTAACTTATCCTTCCTCTAAGACAACATTTATGAGGCACAGTCATGCATAAAACTTAACTGAGACGACCCAACAGGCACTAAATGCCTCAGTCATAACTACCCAGAAGAGCCTCACGTGCTTTTCTTCCTGGCTCATCTCTCCAGAATCCTAAAGCAGCCACTAATTCTTTTTATAGCAGAGTTTGAGCTTAAACGTTTCCACTTTTAACAAAATAAAAGCTCCCCAGAAGAACCATCCCAGGTCTCTGCTATGCAGCTGCAGTAAGTGCCCCTCAGAGAGACCAGGATCTCCCGTGCTCATCCCAAATGTCCACGAGGAGTAAGTGCTGGAAGCACAAAGGGAATTTTTGCAGGCAGAAGGCTTAACATGTGAAACATTGCAGATGACATGGAAATGGGAGTTTTTTGGCTGTAATGCTTTTTTTATTCTAATAAAGTCTGGTTTCAGAGGTGAGAAGGAGAAATTCTTATATTATCATCTCCTTCAACTGGTATAATTCCTTTTTACATATTATGGGCACTTAAGGTACCAAAAAGGTCACGAAAAGAAACTACTGATTTTTGGGCACAAAGCACCATCACTGAGGATGGAACACAGCCCAAATCTGATTTTCTTAGAGTATAGAAAGAAAGCACATGGTATGTTCTGTGAGTAGCTCAAGAGGTCAAGATCCACTCCATTTCACCCCAAATCCTGTGCCCCTGTAGTCAAAGAATCACGGAATGGTTTGGGTTGGAAGGGACCTTAAAGCTCATCTCACCCCATCCCCTGCCACGGGCAGGGATACCTCCCACTAGCCCAGGTTGCTCCAAGCCCCGTCCAACCTGGCCTTGGACACTTCCAGGGATCCAGGGGCAGCCACAGCTTCTCTGGGCAACCTGTGCCAGGGCCTCCCCACCCTCCCAGGGAAGAGTTTCTTCCCAATATCCCATCTAAACCTTCTCTGTTGGTTTGAAGCCATTCCCCCTTGTCCTGTCCCTCCAGGCCCTTGGAAATAATCTCTCTCCAAGATCTCCAATCCAATTTTTGCCATCAAAGTGGACTTCATGGTGGACAGGTGCAGAGACACAGTTTTCAGGTTTTCATCACAGGAAGACTTTGGGGCAAAAATATAACACTTGGAGCAAGTACTGGGCTTCTGTTACAACCACCAAAGACATTTGCACGGGTTAATAACTGAAGTTCACTCTACACCTCATGGCTTTTGCTTAAAACACCTCTAAACCTGCCTTGGCACTGAAATGGATGCAGCACCAGTGCCATCCCTAAGCACAGGTTAAGGAATAGGGTAGTAAACCTTCCCCAAAGTGGTGGTAAGAAGTCATGAAATCACCTTTTAAATCTGAGGCACAATCCTCCCCGTGCTCCTGTGGCCAAACTGCAGCATCTTACAACCTTCCACAGTTCACTGCTTCAGCCACATAAATCCAGGCTCCTATCCACTTAAATCCAGGCTCCTGTTAACCCTCAGACACGCACCAAACTATGTAAATGGGAAATCTAGGTAATGGATTCTCCATATATCTCCCTTTCAAACACCTGGGCTGTGTATTCTGACAGTCAGGTAAGAGCAGCCAAATACTTAGAGATAGATATAAACCAGCCTTTGTGTCACTGCTTATCTAACTGTTGATTTATTACATTTTTAATACATATTTATTTACAAAACAGAGGGAAAGTCAAAGCATAACACCCCCAAAGCTGTCTCCCCACCACAGATGCTCTTTATCTGCCCCTTCTTTGGTTTTGTTTCACCATGTTCACACAGGGCAACACACCAAACAGGCCACGACACACCCTGACTTCCCTCCCTTGCCCAAAGATCAAGGATCAAGCCCGGGATGGGAGAGATGCTCAAATTCTGCTGGTCTTGAGAATCCACATCAGCACCTCCAAAAGCAAACTAAGACATATTCTTGATGCCAACTCATTTGTTAGTCAGCTGTGTGAATGATCCCCCTTCCCAAGCACTTTCCTTACGCTCTGAAGAGGGAACAGCTCATTCCCAAGATTTAAAGGGTTGTTATTTGGCAAAAAGGTTGGTAGGAGAACAAATACTGACCTCTCTGCAAAGAGTATTAAAATGCTGAACAAAAATGTTGTGAACTGAGACTGTCACCACGGAATGCCAGAGAGGGGAAACAAAGCAGGGGGGAGGAAAGGTATTAAGGGGGAAATCAATATGTAATTTAAAAATCATTAAGCCAGTCACTTGCTGTAATGCACTAATACTAAACCAGGTGCTCCTGGACATGTGGGGAGGGCAATCCAGAGCTAAAGCAGAAGAAAAATCCCTCCAGCACAGCATTCTCAGCATAAAATGGACTTGGAAGCTTCGGAGGACTTCAGGGACATTCAGATATTTTTGATTTATGAGGACACAGGGAGGCCTTTTATGCTAAGTTAAGAATGTAAGCTTTTAATGCCTGGGTGAAGTAATTCCCTCTTCCTTCTCATTCCCTGCTCTGGAAACACACACCTTGGATTCAAATCTCTGCCTACAGCTGTTACATGGAATCATACAACGCTTTGGGCTGGAAGGGACCTTAAAGCCCATCTCATTCCACCCCCTGCCATGGGCAGGGACACCTCCCACTAGGCCAGGTTACACCTTCCAATTAATAACTCACGTTTGTTAGTAATAATTAATATTATTAATAATGTTACCTGAGTGACAGACTCGTCTGATTTGAATATTACCACGAACCTGAAGACTTTCTAAATAAGAACAAACTTTAATTTGAAGAAGTGGTTTGGTAGAAATCTTGTTTTATAAGAGGCAAATGAAAGAGTAAAAGCTGGAGTTTGTTTTTAGCCTCCACACCGACAGAAGCAACTCTGGGTGATACTCCAATATATTTGATATATATATATGTATATATATGTGTGTGTGTCTGTACATATATATATGCATATATATACATATGTATATTTATGTGTATGTCTCTATAGCTATCTCAGGCCTAATAA